CCCCCACCCCAGAAAAATAATAATAATAATAATAAAAATTGCGGGGTGCCGACGTCCCCCGACCGGTAGTTGCAAGGACATCGCATCCGCCCTCGCCTACGAGCCACACATGTCCTTCACGACCTTCTTACCTGTGCCCTTCAACACGATCGCCTTCTCTGCCCCGTCCGTGGTCCCACCACCTCTCATCCAAGCAACATCTCTGCGGATGAGACCACCATAGCGTCCCCCTCCAACGACGAGTTCACAGCCCCTGTCGTTGAGCCCGACACCCGACTCCTCCGGCCCGGTATCCCTCAGCTCGGAGGAACTCAACACCATCCAGTTCTTGCGTATGGAACGCAAGGACCGCATGGCTCGACCATCTTCCTCCACCCAACCCCCCCGTCTCAAGAAACTCACAACCGAGGAACTCGCCTACCTGGAGGCTAATAATGGCTGCTTCCATTGCTGACAGCTTGGACACAAGCAAACAAACTGCCCCAACGCCTGCCAGTTCACTCGGCACATGAGCAAACCTGAGACATCCACTCCTTCGACCGCAGCAGGACCCGCCCCCTCCTCATCATGAACTTTGTACCCTTGATCTCGAAGTGCGGCTTACTCCACCGGCGACATCCTCTACCCCGCCGGACGAGATCATCACCGCCTCGTGCTCTTCCAACCTCCTCCCCAACCCTTCCTCCATCTCCTTCTCCGATGTTGTTGCGGAACAAGCACGACTCGATCGACTCGTTAAGTTAGGCCTCGAACAACGCCGCCTCAACACCATAATCTCCTCTGCCTCCGTTGACTCCTCCCGATTCCTACTCAATTCATCGCCGCCTCCCTAGGTGCGTCTACACTCAAGTTTCGGGCTCTCCTTGACATCGGAGCTATCGGTAACTTCATCAGTGACGCTTGTGCCCGCAAAGCCGGTCTCCCTTCCACCTGCTATGACTCCCCGATCACCATTCGACTCGAGGATAAGGACACCGCCGTCGTAGTAAACTGCACCGTTCTCGAGACCACAATGATTGTCAGCTCTCGCCACAGTCAGGTCTCATTCGATGTCATGCACTTGATGTGCGACATCGTCGTGGGAATCCCATGGCTCGAGTGTTTCAGCCCTACGCATTCCATCCACCGTCTTTCGCATCACTTACACCCTCGGACTCTACCGTTGACAGAGTTGGAGTTGTGACGAGCCATGTGGAGAAACTGGTGGGGAGTGATGGAAGGGTGGGAGGTAGGGTGAGGAAAGTGGCCGAGGTATTCTACACTTGAGGCAGCAAAAGTGCACTCCCCACCAGTTTCTCCACATGGCTCGTCACAACTCCAACTCTACCTATTATTGTCTTGTCCTTGACCATGAGCGTCCCGAGGACTTCCGATAGAGAAACCCGACCAAGCCCCCCCTTCTGACCCCGCTCTTACCTCTATCCTCAAGGAGTTCAAGGACGTCTTTCCTGAGTCCTTGCCCGCCGGACTACCTCCAGATCGTGGTCTCTCTCATACCATTGATGTGGAACCCAGTCACACTCCTCCATGTCGACCACCCAACCAGATCTCCGTTCCCGAGGCCGAAGAAATGAAGCGACAACTCAATGAACTCCTTAAAAAAGGATTCATTAATCCAAACTCCTCCCCCTTCGGTACAAGTTGCCTCTTCGTCAAGAAAGACGGAACCTCCAAACTCCGCATATGCACAGACTACCGCGCCCTCAACCGGATCACGATCAAGAACATGTACCTCTTGCCTCTCATCTCTGAGCTTCTTGATCGCCTCCGTGGAGCCAAGTACTTCACAAAGATCGACCTCCGTTGTGGCTTCCACCAGATCCACATTCGCGAAGAGGATACTCATAAGACTACCTACCGTTTATGCTTTGGGCATTATGAGTTCCTTGTGATGCCTTTTGGCCTCACAAACAGGGTTGTCACCCGGGGACCCCCGGGGGTAAAGCCGGGGCCGGGATTTCACCCCCGGACCCCCTCCCGTGGGGGCGCCGACCCCCGGACCCCGCAATCAACCCCCGCGCCCGCCCGACTGTCGGCACCCCCGCGGGACCCTGGCCCCGGCACCCGGCAACCCGACCCCGGCCCCGGACCCCCGCCGACCCGGGCCCCGCACCCCCGGTCCCCGCACCCCCCACCCCCTCCGACCCCCGAC